AAACTATAATAATTCTAATAACACTGTATTAATTTCTTGCTGTATAACACCAAACTACCCTTGAAACTTAGCAGCTTGAAACAATGAATATTTATTATTTCATCCACTCTCTGAGGAGTGAATCCAGGAGTGGCTTGGTGAATTGGTTCTGACCCAGAGTCTCTTATGAGGTTGTAGTGAAGAGGTCAGCCAGAGATACAGACATCTGAGACTAGATTGAGGCCAGAGAACATACTCCCAAGGTGGTTCACTCAAGATCTTGCAAGATAGCCATCATGTTGGCAAGTGGTTTTGGTTCTCAACTGCATAGACCTCTTCATAGGGTTGCTTGCCCATCCTCATGACATGACAGCTGGTGATCTAAGAGACACCAAAGTGGAAGCTGAAAGTTTCTTCTACGATCTAGCCTTGGCAGCCACACTAGTCATGTCCTCAACATACTATAGGCTTCGCAGGTCAGCCCTATTCAGTGTAGGAGGAAACTACCAAGGGTGTGAATACTATGAGGTCAGAATCATTATGGGCCATCTTGGAGGCTGCTGACCACAAACACAACCACACAGCACATAAAGGGAAGTGTCATTTACTGGGAGAGAGTGCGCAGAGTTGTTTCATGAGAATAGCTGAGAAATGTAGTTAGTTCCAACTCTTGGGATATAGAAACCATAACTATGAAAAATTTAGGTTGGAATAATTTCTTTATGAATCTCAAACTTCTGAAAATAATAACAATGATGGAAGAGTTCAATATTTTCTGTGCACTGTACCTCCTTTATCAGGTAAGTACTATATTATATTCATTTTACAGTTAAGCGTCCTGAAACAGAGAAGTTTGGTAATACATCACATGGCTATTAAATGGTGGGCTAGAATGCAAATCCAGGTTTTCCTACCTCGGAACCTAAAATTTTTGCTATTGCTTCTTACTGAAGAGTACTCTTTTCCAAATTCCAGAATATTTGTATCAAAAATGTTATTGTATTATTTTGGAGTAAGTAATATTGTATTTTCACCTAGTGTTCTGAATTATGTTGCCTGGAGGGGTTTTAAGGTAGAACTAAGCAGTGCTTCAATTATTTTTCTTTTGATTAGAAACTGATACTAGAGCTTTGGCAAAAGAGAGACAAAAAAAGGACAACCACAACCTCAGTGAGTATAAGTTTTTTTCCCATATAATATTAATTAATGCAAGAGGAAATGCATGACGGTGAAAATATACGGTCTTTTATTATTACTCCGTAAGTATTTAGGGGTCAGATGACCAAAATTAATGGGACATGCTCACAACTTGAGCTATTTTGGGAAATCTAAACAATGTGAACTCTCAGAAAAGCTATATATTTTCACAAAGTGAAACATCCCAAATTCTTTCCTTGATCATTCACTCTCAACGAGACTGCCTGTGACGGAGATGAGTGCATTCGGTTACATTTGAACTCTATTGTGACTCATTGACTCAAAGGTTTAAAGAGATAAAAGTGACTTTAGAAAATGTACACCATTTAAATAGTAAGAAACATAACTCCAGGTTCTCATTTTTCTGTGTCAATCTGCTCTTTCCTTCCTAATGACAGGTTATCTGAAAGGCATTGCTTATGTTGTAGTACTGAATTTCACCCCTGGAAAAAAAAGGGCTCTGGTGCTATCCTAAGGGTCAATTTGACTCTGATAATAGGTCATATGAGATGGAGAAATGCAAGCAAGAGAAGTAGATTAGCAGCAAGGCTGAGCTTTAGAGTGCTTGGTCATGTCTTAAGTGCTTAGCTGTCTCAAGTGAGCCTGACTAATTGAGTACGAAGGCTTTTTGTTCTGGGAGCCAAATCAAAAACTGAGCAAAGAGTAAAATGAAATAAAAATAAATGAAAATTTTAAACCTCTAAAACTAACCAGTAATTTTCTTCCATGTGATTAACTGAAATTGATTCTACAAGTACCTTTGAAACCTGCATGTGTCCCAGTGATGAGAGTTTGCTGAGTGTATGGAGGAGGGAGCCAGCACATGGTCATATCAGTCCTTAGGGAAATGATCTGATTATCGTATCCCTTAGTGGCAGAGCTGATGACTTTGGTTCAGATTAGGAGGCAAGTAGTATATGAGTAGGGAGAGCTAACCATTAATAGAAGGAATATGGACATTGGGGAACTATGGACTTCTCTCCGAATAAGTCTATTAACAATGATTGACCTTGCTTCTACCTTCTCTGCTCTATGTCTTTAGCTTAAACAACTGACCATTTAACATAAAGTATGACAAATGTCTGGTTTGTCCATTATCAAAGGGTTTTCCGATCTGAATTCTCTTGCTATGTCATCTTGCTGTGGGGGAAAATCAGTACCAAAAATTCATATTATAAAATTTTATATATAATGAATCTAGAAAAACCCTTAAAATTTGTGAAGGTCATGGCAAAAGTACAAAGGAAGTTCCACTTACCAGATGTCTACATATGTACAATTAAGTATGTCCCAACCTTCTTAAAGACTGGACGGGTGAGTTTAGAATTCTTAGCTTGTTGGAGTTCAGTGCAGGAATGTCAGGGCAATGCTAGCTCTCAGCTTGCAGCCCACCCTCTCTTTTATCCCCAACTTTTATTCCATTCTACACTTCAAGTAGCCCCCAACATGAGTGTGAACACTCCATCCTGTACATTAGAGCTCCATACATAGCCCTGCAAACAACTGCCCTTTGATTATGTCTTGGGCCTAGGGAGAGCACACTGGTGTCATGTTCCTCCCCGAGGAGGATGGACCTAGGGAAGTGGCCTGCACAAGCCCTGGGAGGCGGCTCAAGGCATTAGGGAGGAAATCATTATATGATGCCCAGAGCATAGTTTAGAAGGGGTTCCCTTGGCTGCCTTGCTCAGTGGGGAGAGACATGGCCAGAAAAGGCAAGAGTGAGTTCTCTAAGCGTGGGTCAGGGTTGGGGCCTGTCTTGCTTGGATCTAAGGACAAGATTGAGTGACTATGTCAAGAACTTTGCAAACGGTAAAACACATATAGCATGAAATAATTTAATGATTTCTCAAAACTTGACTCCTTTATAAATAACTAGTACTAGATAGCGGCAACATTGGGGAACCAAATTTCTCATTATTATGTCATTAAAGGGCACAGACTACAGTCTAAGATTACAGAAGAGGTTTTTGTTATTCTACATAAGGTACATTTAAGTAACAGATTTTTAAAGAGACATTATAGGACTAAAACAGTCCCTTACTTTGAAATAAAACTGTGAACTTCCTTCATAGCTGTTCTTCATCTTATGTTTAAAAGTCTTGTTTACAATAAGAATTAATGTGTGTGAACATAGAATTATTAATAAATTCTCATTGTAATATATGTGTATTTCTATAAGTTTTACCTTTGTTTATTTTCTCTTCAGTGTTTTTATGTAGTGTCATTTAGCTGTTTTTTTAATTATATGTACAGGGAAAACAGAATTGGTGAAAAGGGAAAGTAAAACTCTCAAGAATCAATTGTATTCTGATTTTAGAGGGAGGCCAATGCATTATTCCTAAATGTCAAATCCATTCATGGTAATTTGTTTCTTAGAGTAGGTTTATGAAGACAATTGATAGTCTTTTGTTACTTTCCTTGTTTCCAGTGGGAGATCTTAATTTTCAAGTGTGTACTATACAAGTATTTTCTAATATTTTGGAAATATGTTGTTCTTCTTCTTCATAGCCTTTTCTATATTCATTTCCTTGAAATCTTTAAATTTATTATCTATTCAAAGTGTTACATACAGATGTATGTTATGGTTCTTGATATTAGGAATATAGAGTAGAAGGTTGCTCTTAGAGAAGAGTCAATGTAGAAAATTCGACTGTTCCTATGATGTCTAATGCCTAAATGTCGTTAAACTTTTGCTATATGATGTACAAAATTGCTATAAGCAATGCATGGAAATGCAAATATGGTAAACGGTCTCTGAATAAGAACCTATATCAGTAATTCTCAAAGCATTGGCCCTACATAAAGAGCATCAGCATCACTTGAGAACTTGGAAATGCAAACTCATGCCTGTCCCCCTCTCACTCTCCCAACCTACTAAAATCAGAATCTCTAGATGTGCAGTACAAATCTATATCAACAATTTCTTTGTGGAGAGTATATGAGAAGAGTAAAGCATGGTGCATGACCTCAAAAGATTACAATCCTGATGGACTAACAAATTGTCTGTGTGTGAAATAACAATCAAACAGATTAACATATATATATATAGATAGATAGTACATACTTGAATACATATATAAACACACACATTTCAGTATGAGTAAATATTATAGCATTTCCAAGAAAGAAAAACTGTTTTGTGACAAAATGTTTCTAAAGCATTGTAAATCATGTATTTACAATTCTAATATTGTAACTTTTACTTTTAGAATAAGATACATTTGAATTTTTATTGTATGGTTGAGAAGTATTTTCTTTTGACTAAATGAATTTTTTTTTTTGCTCCTTGTTTTTAAAAGATTATTAAGAAGGTTTACAGCTGACCAAAAGTGAACTATCCTTTAATGAGAATAATCAATAATATTTCTTCTTTAATAGTTGAAAGAAGAAGAAGGTATAATATTAATTACCGAATCAAGGAGCTTGGCACTCTTATTCCAAAGTCTAATGATCCGTGAGTTCAACAATCATTTCTGTAATAACGTTATGGTTTCAATACCCCCAAAAACGGGTGGGAGGGAAAAAAGGAGGAGAGAACCAATGACGAGGAAACTAAGCAGCTTATCGCAAAGATAAGGCTATTGCTGGTCTCATTTTAAATATCTATTCCAGACTAATTGTCATTAAGCATCAAGTCTGTTACTAAAAGTTGTCCTTTTGAGCTCTAAGAAATAAGTAAGTTATTTCTCCTCAGTTCATAGTGGGTCTTTCTCTATAGCGACAATATTGGCAAATTTAGTGATAATGCTAAATACTATTTATGATACTGACTGGTATACTGAATTTATGGGTATAGCAATTCTTTTAACTTAAGATTTGTGAGTATATGAAAATAGAATGTTCACATTTTCTGAGATCCCAAATTCTGGAGACATACAAGTAAAAAATGTAATTTCAAAAGCTTGTTGATAAATGTTAACCAAGTTTTGTGTCAAACACACACAATGTCAGTCAAACACATTGTTTGAGGTTATAAATCTCAAGAAATAATTAATCAAAGTGTCAATTTGGAATGTTGACTGTTTCTTCAGAAAACATAAAAACATGATATGTAGCCTTAATAATGTTTGAAAATGTTTCAGTCAAACTGAGAACTGAACTCTCTAAATACTGGAAATTATCCATTACCTCAAAATGACCATGTTTGATAAAGTGGTATTTATGAGATTTGAAAGCACTTTTCCCTTAAATCGAAATTTGCTAATTCACTTGGACAATTCCACAATTTGTGATAGAAGGGGATATAGCACTTATCCTCAAGTGCATGCTGTGCAGCGAAGGTGTCCAGAGCAGAACGGCAGAAAGATCACAGAACGGACAATCAGCAGAGTTCAGTCCTGGTCTAGGCTCTACCAAAATCTCTTCAAATCTTTTAAAGTCTCTAAGCATATGACTCTTTCCGTTAGCTGAAGAAAATACTTTTCTTCCCCATATGACTAGGATTTTATAAAAATAAAATCACATAAGGTGTATGAGAATACTTGGTAAATTATAAAGTTTGTATGAGACTATTATTACTCCACATTTTTATAAAAGCTTTGATTATCTAAAAACTCTTTCTGAGGTGGAGAACCTGCAGCCTAGGTAGGTGCTACGTGAGGCCTTCTGCATCCTTGAGTGCGGCCTTTTGACTGAATCCAAACTTTGTAGAACAAATCCTTTTATTATTACTAATGTAATATTGAGATTTGGATTCAGTCTAGGGGCTGCACTCAAGGATCTGGAGGCCCACACGTGGCCCTGAGGCCGCAGGTTCCCTACCCCCAGCCGGATGGCAAACTTTTCCTGTAAACCTTTTAAGTTTTGTGAGCCATACAGTCTTTATCACAATTATTTAACTCTGCCCTTGTAGCACAAAAGCGGATATAGATAATATATAAATTAATGAGTATGGCCATATCCAATGAAACTTTATTGGAAAAACAGACTATGGGCTATTGTTTGTCTCTCCTGGTCTAGAATATAAAAAATCAATGTACTACAGAATCATATCTAAAAGAGACCATAATCAGGAAAACTTCATTGTAAGCATTTTTAAGTGTCTTTCTCTTCCTTATGGATCTCAGAAAGAAGGGTTATTATTTGTTTTAATTCTATTACATTATATGTAGGCAAATGACATTTATTTGGGTCTATTTAAAAATACATCAATTAGTTGTCAAATATATCTATACATGGATCTTTCTGGATAACACAGGCAGAGAAGAAGCTTCACTGAAGGTGTGGCATTCCAAACATCTCAGCACTAATTTCGTTTCAATACATTTTATTCTCTGGTTTGCTGTGGCCTCACCCATTAATCTAGTGTCCCTTTTTAAGGCTCAGCAATGAGAGTCTCATGGTTGAATCCAGAGTGTAGACTCTTAAAATAGACTTTACCTGAGAAGTAGAGTCTGGATCCTACTCTATAAAATTATTTGATTCATTTGTTGAATTTTCAGATGTCACTATGGATAACCTAAAAGTTAGAGAAAATAAGAATGCTGGGGAAAGAGTGTGGGGATAACACAGAGGAGGCAAGTTTCACTTTGAAGATGAGAAAATGAAGGAAAAAGTGACACTACCACATTATGGCAATGGTGAAATCAACAAAAAGTGGATCTGAAAATAAAAAAAAGATCAAACAAGATTTCAGTCTGAGTTTAACAAATTTCAGAATAATTGGTTGAGTAGGTGACTACAACCATTACAATGACTTAGAACAGTTTTTTTTTTTTTTTAAAGAAAATATATCAGGCTACACTGCGATCTAGTACAGGATCATGAAATCAATGAAATGGGACAGATCTAGGATTTTTAAACAAAAAGGAAGAATAACATTAAAATTATCAGAGATTATTACATATTATGTATAAGGAGAATAGTAATACCTTGTGAAATCTTTGTTGCAGTTTTATGTGCTAAGTAAGAGAGAACCGAGTCACAATATAAAACTTATTTCTTGTGACAGACACATTTGAAAAGATGGGAAAGCCATAGGTTTGCAGAAAGAACATTGGCTTGCATGACGAGACCTGGGTTTATCTTCTAAACACCATATACTCTTGGGCAAATTGCAGAGTGTTTGACCTCTGAGGACCTTTCTAGCTCATGATTGGAATAAATTTTGGGGTTGGCTTAGGAAATCAAAGCTAATATCTGAAGACACTTTGAATTCTATGAACTTTCCATTTTTATGTATGAAAACATTCAGAAATTTTTATTTCTTTGAAGGTCAAAATGATGAGGTCAGAAGGGAAAATAATATAGACAACAGCTGAAATTGAGAAGTATAGGTTGAGAAAACTACATGAAAAAAAACCCCTACCAGGCAATGACAATCTTTTGACCATTGACAAAAACCAAAACCAAACAAAAATAAGCAAACACAAAGATTGAAGAGCTTGTACAGTATAAGATAGCAGTCCTCTTCAGTGTACATGGAAGCACTTTTGTCCATGTGTCTTGGTGAGCCAAGTTTACACGAATCATGTTAATATCATAGAAAGTTAAATATATTACTAGAGTATGAATTATTATATTGGTGATATCAAATTACTCTTGTTTTTCCACGTTTTTTTTATAGTTTTTTTTACTAAAATTGATCTTTTCCCTTCCTGTTATCAGAACTTCCTCCTGTTTTTGTGTAAAGAATGTTAGTTCAAGTAGTAAATGAGACCTGACAAAATTTTCTAAATCAGGAGTCACAAGATGTTGATCCAAGCAAGAAAAATTAGATCTGTCATAGTGTTTTCTTCCTTTATTTTTTTAAACCATTTTTTTTTATTTTTTAAAATTCTTTTAAGTGGATGTGCACTCCTAAGGTAACAACACATTGTACATTTTCCATAGCTTTGCCTGGCAGCACTTCTACTCTGATTTGCACATTTGTATTACCTGGTCTGGCCCCAAATGCATTCAAGCTTTTAATCCTCCAAAAGTTTTAAGTTCTTCAAAGAAAATTGTTTTGTAGAACATGAAAGGCCAATATCAACTGTTTTTTTTTAGCCATGCCTTTATTAATGTCTGTGTTTATAGGACACCATTATACATAAGATTTTTAATGCCTAGTTCCCTGAAATTGTCTTGGGATGGAGGCAAAATATTTTTAATAAATATTAAAAACTTAAAATATTTTAAGAAGAAACCTCATATATTAAAATAGCTTTAAAACAGAATTAACTTAAAAAAATTATCATAGATGACATCAGGTACAAATTGAAGAAAGACCCATTGTGTGTTCTCTACCACCATTTTGAAGGTTTATTTTTTATTATCTAATATCTAAATAAACAGCACTTTAAATTTCAGAGGTGGCTAGGGTTATCCACTTTATCTATTCCTCTGTTGAAGATATTCTTCCCATGAGAAGGAATGAAATAAAATTAAGAGTCCATAAGGCTCCTGCTACCTCAGAGTCCACTACACTTTTCAATTGCAGATACTGTCTCGGTTTATCAAAGGTAGCCCATCGTTCCCTACCCTTCCCACTTTCACCTTCCCCCCCGACCCTGTGAGTAGAATGAAACCAATGGCCATTACAGCCCCAGAGAACAGACAAAGTATTTTCAAACTCGAGACAGACATTGACCATGATTTGATGCACTTCAGGAGAAGACAGCTCTTATCCAGGTCCTAGTAAGCATTGTCACCTGCTGGTAGAAAAATGTATCTTCCTCATCTTTGCTATCACTAATAGTGTTGTCACCTAACCTGAACTTCCAATGAGACACATGCAAATGAGATCTTTCATAAGCTGTATTTTCTCACTTCTTAACAAATACATATTAAGTTCAGTATATTTCACATAGATCAGATAAACCAAATATATATGCAATGTATTTCACATAGATCACATAAACCAAAAATACATGTAGGAAAATTTAACATTTCTCTACCTGCTTCCTTTATGCTATATTAAAAAGATCTCATGACTCTAAATTGAAAATTCATCAAGGTTTTCTAACACCTCTGATTAACGTTTAGCAATTAGTTTGACTTCATTCTCTACACCTATTATTAATTCTCATACAGTATTACATTTATGGATGTTTCCAATGATGTTTTCAGATGTCAAAATCAGTAGCCTGTTCCAGAATTCTATATCTTTAATTTCTCCTGTCTTAAACATAAGCTTTCATAAAATCATTTTTCTATGCTATAGCCTACAAGGTTATCTAGTAACGTTTAACTGTATTTATTTGTCTTAAACTGATTTAAAAATAGCTATAGATATTGAGCTTTTTAAAAAGTATTGCTGTCGTTTGTGCAGAAAGATTGGCCAAATGGTTTTAGAAAGTTTGCTTTATTGCATAAAGCGATGTTGCCAAAGTTTGATTTGTTTCACAATCACTCAGGATCACTATTCAGGAGAGACTTTATTTTTTTTTCTTAGAAACATAAAAGCAACCTTATTAGAAAGTAGGTTAAAAGATTGGTACATTTGAAATGATCTTAAAAAATTTAGGCTTAAGTCCTCAGTAATGTACATTTCCTAGTTCATTAATGCAGAAATACTGCACATAGATTTTAATCTTGGAGTTAATAATAAAAGCAATTTTCACTAAAAATATAAAAACTGTAATGGTAGAATCATGATATTGCATTTAGCTCTCCCACAAAAAGTCACTTTATTACTTTCTTTTGACACTTATTTTCATTCTGGGATTAATTTTACTATATAAGGGCTTCTTAACTATTCTATTAAAATTTCTATTCAGAAGCAATAATATCTAAGAGTGAATAATAGTCATGTAAATCATTATTTCATATTAATGTAAAAGATTTTGTAAGTTCTTATGAATTCTGCTGACATGCACAATTGTGAAAAGGTTATCTCTCCGTTCTACAGTGATATGCGCTGGAACAAAGGAACCATTCTAAAAGCATCAGTGGAGTACATCAAGTGGCTACAAAAAGAACAACAGAGAGCCCGAGAATTAGAACACAGACAGAAGAAATTAGAGCAGGCTAACAGGCGACTTCTACTCCGGATTCAGGTTTTTATAAGAATGTTGCCACGAGCTCATGTAGCTTACTTACATATGACTTACCTGTCATCAGTTTTATTCATTGGTCTCATTTATTATTTTTCTTATTAATAATCATTTTTCCTTCTGAAGGGTAATTTTATTGCCTTTTATAGGTTCATGAATTGGATTGTTTCAATTAGGTTTTGGTTAGAAATCCAGAATTAAGACGACATG